ACGCCAAGTCTAAACCAAGGCCTCTCTCCAGCAGTTTTGATGAATTACATTGAAGCACAATTCAATATATAATCCGGTGTAATGATAAATTAGGTTCATTCTCTTTCAGGAAGCTGGGTACAGCTAACTGCTTACAAACTATGTTTTTTTGACTGAGGGAAAACTGCTTGAGGCAAATAAATACTTAAAGATTGAATTAAGGCAACATCCCACTTTTGTCTCAGAAGAAAAGAATCCTCAACAAGAAACCCAAATTGTACTTTAAATAATTTTAAGTATCGTAGCTAAGTAAGTACTGATTAAGTAATTTTCTGCATAATAGACATTTGACTATTCAACTGACTTTTTATATTACCTATAAAATTAATACAGTGATAATAACTTTTCTCCATTTCTTATTGAAAATTCTACAATGATATGTACAATCAATCTTTGGCGAGCATAGGCATCATCTGAGCATATAAAATGGAGACAAGCTGAGTTATTTTCACTAAACTTGAATTAAAAAAGAACACGAAACACTACATTACCATACAAAACAATGCTTACACTCAGAACCACCATAGAATTCAGTTTTTTTTCTTTTCAATTTGAAAAATGTCTTTTAGTTTGCAAATGTCCAAAAACTTCCTCAGACTGTCAGCGTACATTCGTCGTGTTGGTTTATATTAGCTTTTAGCTGAGATTCTGAGGTTTCTGTGAATAACACACATGTCGATATTTGCATAAAAGACTTGATGGAGGGTCAAACTGCAGTTCGTTATTGGTAGATTTCATAACGTCTACCAATAACAAAAATTATTTTCAAGCTGATAAAGTTTGTATTGTAAACAAAACAAGTAAATTACTGCTATGCATTGTACAAAAAATGTATATATAAAATAAAATAAAAATGGTTGTCACATATACACACGTAAAAATAAACACATAACATTTATTTAAATAAAGTAAGCAATATGCTTACAATATATTTTACGACGTTCAGCTGCTACTTGTGATACTAAATGTTTAGAATTCTGCTTCACGGTGCATTACTTAAGGTAAAACAACATAAATGTGTTGAGAAAGGTGTTGTTTTAATAACATTTTCTTATAAATACAAAATCTGTTAACACATGTAATGTTGATTTTTGTATTAGGTATAATGTATTCAGGTGACTATAGAAAGACTAATAAAACAATTATTATTGCTGCACACATTTCCCAGGGTGTTTTCAGATTTTCAATAAAAACACTTAATGTTTGGTAGCTCCACTTTCCACAGCCTTTATCCAATATATCCACCATCCCTCTTCTGCACTTCTGCACCTTTTCAGCTCTTCTGTTCAAGCAATGTCAGCCTTGCCTGTCTACCTCTATCCATTAGACTCCTCAGCCTGAATTGTCCCTTTGACCTACTCATTTCCAATCCTTTCTATTGTGGTCACTTCGTCTTTTTGTCAGTGCCACGTCTCCAAGTCTTACATCACAGCATGCCTCACTGTGTTGTGAACCTTAATATTCATTATAGCTGCTGTTCTTCTGTCACAAATCACACTTGACACGTGTGCAGCCACTCCATCCTGCCTATACTGTAACTTCACCTCTCTTTTGGACTTTCTTGCTTTGTAAGGTTCACTCCATGTTCTTAAACTGATCTACTATCACTGCCCCTACACTTTGCATCTTTACTGTCATATATATCTCCAGCTCCTTCATGCACATGTATTTTTCTCCTCAGAGTATACCTACACCTCTCTAGGCTTTCTTCCATCCACCTGGCCCCTACTCTCACTACAGATCACAATGTCCAGCCATAGCTGTCTTTTTAGCCACTGCCTATATTGCATGCCTAACTCCAATGCAGGTAATTGGCGACAGTATTGGCTGAATTTGGATGCAGGCAATCCTTTCTTAATGTCCTTTGCTATAAAATACCTGGATTTTAGGCAAGGCTAAATCACTCCAGAATATGGACTGTAACATCTGTACCAGAATTTTGAATGTCTGACTTTTAAAGCCCTACCTAATAAATTATTCAAACACAATAATGGTACCGTTAGGCCTGTTAGATGGTTTGACTTTGAGGCATTTAATCAGTGGACTGAAATAATAACCAAATGTACCTGATACCTGATTTTAACGCCTGAGAATTGCATGAGAATATTGATTTTAGAGACATAAGTGTTACTAATCCAGAACTGGCACTGGGCAGAGTAAGAGATTTCTTAGCCAATGTAATAGACAGGGCTGTGTCTGGGTCTCAACCGGGCAGTGTTTTGAACGTCGTTTTGAGAAGCCCATCCCTGGCTTCTGATGTACAGGCTGTTTTAAATGCTAAAGATGAGTACAATACAGATCTGTTTCTTGATGAAATAGCTCAAATGATGCAGAATGATGAATCTATCAGTGATGATGAATTAGAGTTTATTGTCAGTCACGTAGAACAGTAGCGGCTGTGCTCGTTTAAGACTGGCCCACATACCATATGACGAGATACTGTTAAAGAAAGGTAAACATTTGTATACAACAAACAATACCCACAACAAGTTTGAATGTGGTCGTGATAGGGCACTGAAACTCTATAACACCCATCTCATATGGCTCATTCAAAACAATAGGTTTTGCTAGCTTTGTTCTAAAATTAGATATCTTGTTGCCTGGATAAACATGTCCCAAAGCATTCAAGAAGAGGGTCACATAAAAGTCGGCGATGTTGTTCTTTTTATTCACCCTTTCTTCCTCTGTCTCTGCCCAGCGGGGAATAAGCAGAGACGGGTCATCTGGGCTAATCACACACCGATGATGTCTTTTTATGGAATCCACGAATTAAAGCAGGGGGCCATCCTAACCACTTCACTAGCACCAGCTTTTTCTGCCCCACTTTTTTCTCACACTCTGTTTTTATCAATAATCACACATTGTATCTCAGGCTCATAAAATGTTCCTTTCAATACCTCTTCTGCAAGGTCCGCTAGTCTGTACACTGGTGGCTGTCTCCCTATGCGTTCCTTCACGGTAAAGATCTCATCGGTGTAGGTCTGCTCATACCCTTTTCGAAACATGACTCTCAGTTTTGATATTCGTACAGTGTCACGAAAATTAAATTTAAAGCATGTTTTCTTCTGAGGCTTCGTCTTGTAGAGCGTGTTAAAGACCAATTTCTCATTATCGTTATTCACCTCTGCTGGTGCCATTTGGATAGACCTATGATAAGACTTGTTATATGCTTGTGTGAGATCAAAGATGACATCTACGTATCTCCGGGACTTGGCAGATGTTAATTACTTCCACATTCTACCCTCGAAGCGTCGGGTAAATCTCTCCATAACGCTAGATTTAACCCTGCTAGCTGTTGAGAAATGCTTGATATTATATTGCTTCATCAGCTGTTTAAAGGTTGTATTATAAAAGCCTTTACTGGTTTGTAGTTTTATAGGGATCCTTCCCGCAGTAAGCATATCCTACAGCTGCCCTGTCTTGTTTGTGAGACATCTAACCCATGCATACTTTGAGAATACATCTATACATGTTGTCAGGTATCTCACATTATCATTATCTGCTGAATATTCAGGCATATCAACCAGGTCGGCTTGAAACTGTCTGTCGATCTCATTCACCAATAATCTATTTCTGGGAAAGTGTATCCTCACAGTTTTATGAAGAGTGTAAGTGTCATCTCCTTCTAAATAACGTGTCACCTGCAATAGTGGTGGCGTTACACCTGTTGCCTCTCCTGCTGCTATACGTAGCTTATTTACACCA